GAGTTTCCTAACCTCTCTGGACCTCAGCTTCCCTCCTGTGTAAAGAGGAATCCCGATAGCGCCCAGCTCTTAGGAAGTTTGCTGGGAAAAGGAGAAGAAACGATGAATGTCAAGAACATGGCTCTGCTCATCTGGACGATAGTAAGCTTTTGATATGCTGCCTGAGATTCGTTGTTATTTTGGGGCTACATTTGTTGTCAGGGAAATGAGGCCTTCCCTACCCGGGCCTCAGTCTTGTCGAGGGACAGCAGAACACAGTGAGCCCAGGGACCGGGAGGGGGAGACAGACAGCCGGGGTCAGAGGAGGCCGAGGTAGGCGGCTGGACCACGATTAGCATGATTGATGAGCAAAGGGAGCTGGGGGAGTTTCTGGCCCAGGGCAGCCGGTGCGTGAACTGGGCGGCTCGGGCACCATCAGCTGCGGCTTTGTCACTGAAAGGAAGGACTTTCTACGGGGAAACCTGAAATGATAAATTGCTTCCAGGTTTCCTCCCGGAGCTGGTCTAGCCCCGTCCGAGAGCCCTTCTTGGCTCTCCTTCTAAGCCTGTGGAACGATTTACATGAGGAGATGAGGGAAAAATACACAAAAAACCAAAAACCTGGGCAGTGTAAGGACCTGGATGGAGAAAAGAGGAGAAGGGATGGTGGGGTGTCAGCAAAGGGCTGTGGTCGGAGGTGTGTGCGGAGTTAGGAGGTGGGACAGGGAATGCCAAGCCCTGAGTGGTCCCGGGGCCACGGCTGCCCAGAAGGCTCAGGCTTGTGTAGGATAGGGGAGCAGTGGCGAACGTGAGGCCTCCCCCTGGGGGTGCTCAGGGGTGTCCAGTCATTCTGTATTTATTTATCTGCTTTTGATTTAGAAATCGTTACTCTTTCTTTCGCATGTGCTCTCACGCTTCTATACCCAGCACGTGAATCTTGCTGAGAAATGCCCCCGTGGAACCCAAATGCCTTCCTCCCTGATCACCTGGGAGGAAGCTGATAGCTAAGACCAGTGGGTTTTGCACCTTTCTTCAAAGTTCTTTCTTCAAATAAAATCTCCCACTGGGTCACAATCGCTAACATGTTTATGGAGCGCTCAGTGTGTGCCAGTTACTGCTTCACTCTGCGTTTTCTCCTGCTGTCCTCAACACCATGCTGTGAGGTCTTAGAGCAGCGGTTCTCAACCTGTGGGTCGCGACCCCTTTGGCGGTCAAACGACCCTTTCACAGGGGTCGCCTAAGACCATCCTGCATGTCAGATATTTACGTTACGATTCATAACAGTAGCAACATTACAGTTATGAAGTAGCAACGAAAATAATTTTATGGTTGGGGGTCACCACAACATGAGGAGCTGTATTTAAAGGGCCAGAAGGTTGAGAAGCACTGTCTCAGATCCTGCCACCCATTTTACAAAGTAAATGAGGAAAGTAAGGCACGGGAGGGTGAAGTCCCTTCTCCAGGTCACACATGAGCAAGAGGCAGAGCTAAGGTCATAGAGGTCTCCTCCCGCTCCTGCAGCCACGCCCTGATAACCACTGTGCCATACTGCCTTGGGAATGAAAGCACGGCAGCCTTCCTGGAGGGTGGGGATGGAGAGGAAGGAGCTGGAGGCCAGTCTTCTCAGCTGTCACTCCAGGTTGCCAAGGAACCTCCCAGGAATCCCCAGAGCTGCCCAACCTCTGCTGCAGAGTATAATCCAGATTCCAAAGCACAGGGGGCACCACATGTGGGTGTGGCCACCTTGACAATCGGGGGAGAGTGTGTGTGTGTGTGTGTGTGTGTGTGCGTGTGCGTGTGTGTGTGTAGGTTGAGGATGGAGCTCTAGCACGTAGGGTTGAGGCCAGGAGACTTCATGACTCGTCTGATGCTTGGCCGCTGGAATTTGCTTGGAGAAGTGATCTTTTGAAAATATCCTATGCTTGTGAAATATTTGCAGCATCCCTTTGATAAAATTTTCCAGTATTTGCAATTCTTTTCTTCTAAGAGCCAAAGGGAGGGCCAGGGTGCGTTCATGAAATTCTAAGTATTTTGCAATCTGATTGTCCCGTCCCAGCCCGCAGTCCGGCGACGCCAGAAGTCCTGCTTCAAAGAGCGGGTCACCTTTTGGTTAGCACCAACCCCGCTGCCCTCTGCTAAAGCCGCGTGGGGAGGCTGTGAAGGCAGCGGGCTTCCCGACGGGGGTTGAGGGTCCCTCCCTGCCCTCTCGGGGACACCACCCATCCGCTGGGCACTCCATTTCTTTCTCCCTTTGGTCTCAGAGCATCTAGCCTGTCAAAGATTCCGCATTGGAAAGGGTGAGACTGGTGTTGCTTTTGTTCGAAGTGAAAAAGGAAGAGAGATGAGAAAAAGCTGTTTTTCCATGAGCCGGGAGAGTCTACCAGTGCCAGGTGCTATGCTACACGCTTGCAGGGTGGGGTCTGCCGTCCTCGTCCCCCCAGCTCTGGGAGGCCGGTGCTGTCCCAGCTGGGAGAGCGATGTTAGAGAAAACGTGGGGCACGGGCTGGTGAGTGGCAGAAGCTAACAGGAAGCTGCCCCTGGGACAACTCTGAATTCAAGATGAACTTCCCGTGAGGCAGGAGATGACCTCTGAGCACGTCAGGTCTGCAGAGCCACGTCCAGAGGTGGAGCTGGCTGGCTCCTGACACATCCCTCTCGGTGTGGGCTTGTGCAGACACTTAAAAGCCACGTGTCCTCTGTCTGGGTGAGAACCCGACGGAAGCACCCCCTGGCCCTCCGCCCTCCTCCCGCAGATGGGGCTCGCCCAGCGCCAGGCGCTCACTGGGACCACCAGTCTCGGCCTGTGGGAGGTCTGACATCCCACTGAGCTCTGCAGCTGGCTGCTCCCCGGGGAACACCAGGAAGCTGGATCGCTCCTGTAGGCCGTTCCATTTCCACTGGCCTCCTGCCTGGGTGGCCTCCTTCCTATTCTCTCGATGGGTGACGGAGGACAAAGGCTACATCTGTGATACTGCCTGATGCGGGAATCAGAGAAGCTTCTGGAAGGGATCCTAGAAATGACCTGGTCTAACCCCTCATTGCATGATGGGAATGAAGAGTCCTCAGACAGGAGAGAGCTAAGCCAGTATCTAAGACTGCTGGGTCTTAGCAGCACTGGCAATCCCATTGGTGATCACTTAGGTTAACTCTTTTTTTTTTTTTTTAAATTGCAGTAAAATATTCATACTGTAAAATCCACCCTTTTTTGAGTGTTCAGTTTAATGGCATTAAATGCATCCACATTGATGTGCAACCATATCACCACTCTCCATCTCTAGAACCTTTTCATCCTTCCTTTTTAAACAACCACATGTGCTTGTCATGTGCCCGACTGTGTCCCATACACTTCACTCTCTGTGAGAGAGGCATCATTACAACTCCATTTTACAGATGAGAAAACTGAGGCTTGAGAGGTAAAGGTCGTGCCAGGCTCCAATGACTATAGAAGCTGCTGCAGAGACGTCCACAATTGCAGAACAGGCAGGGCAGGGCCCCCCAGGATGGCAGGTCTGCGATATGCGTGGGTGAGAGAAGGACAGGACCTGGCCTACCATCGTGCCACCTGTGGGGAGGGGACAGCGCCCTGAAAGCCTTCGTGTTCCTCCTTCAAATTTAGCCTCTTAACCAAATATTGAGGAGAGAAAATCAGACACATTTCTCAGCGCCTTTCTGAGAAACCAGGTGCTTCTTAGGCCCGAAGGAGAACTGCAATATGTATCCGAGTGAATCAGGTTCAAATGCAATGACTGGACCCTGCCGACGAGGGTGCAAGGTGTCATGGGTGCACTTGTGCGCATGGGGCCGGGGTTGGGAGTGGGTGCGGGACTGAATTAGGTAGGTAAGTGCCTCCAGGCTGTCTGTGCAGCCCTGGCATCTGGCCTGCAGGCAAGGGCTTCCTTGGGGTGGCAGACATTTCATAGCAGCCTCAGAGGCTGGGCCTCCCTGGCCTCCCCTCTCAGAGAGTGCAGCCCCCTGACCCTGTCTCCTGATCCTGAGTGGGGACCTGCTGGGCGGGGCGCACAGGGTTAAGGACCTTTGAGGGCTGACAGTTGATCAGCAATTGCGTCACCGCCCTCCCCAGCAGGGTGTGCACCTTCCAGGGCTAGCGGTCAGCCAGGTTTGCTGTGAGGTGCAGTCACCCGAGCACCTGGGGACAGAGGCCCTAGAGGGTTTCTGGGGCAAAGCTCAGCTGGCCTCCCTTTGGTGTGGGATTTGCACAGGGACCCATCCGTGCATCCCGGTGGGGAAAACGGCTGAGAGAGGAGGAAGGGCGCGGAGGGCAGCCTGGGGGGCCACCGCAGGACTCATATTTGCTGAGCACTTGCTTGTGCCTGGCTACGCGTTTTACACACGTTGGCTTCTTGACCCTCACAGCAACTCTCATCACCCTTGCTTTCGGGATAACGGAGATAGACTCTCAGAGAACAACATCAGGGTTAATATCAGCGGCCCAGCGTGATGTCGTTCATGAGCTGACCGAGTGGGATAGTTAAGACTACAGTTGCTCCAGTAAATGTGCATGAAACCCAACAAGCCGTGAGACCGTGGGAAAGTCACTTAACCTCTCCGTGCCTCAGTTTCCTCATCTCTAAAGTGGGGATCACAATTGTTTGTTTCTCATAGGGTTGCTCTTTGATGCAGGTAGTGTTCAGCAAATGTTAGCTAGAACCGCCGAGGCTGGAACAATCACAATACACTAGGCTCCAGGCTAAGGGTTCCTTTCTACTAGTGTTGAAATACAGTAACTCCAGGAGATGGGCCATTATCACCTGCATTTTACTGAATAGCAAAATGAGGCTCCGAGAGGTGAGCAGAGCCCCAAGGCCACAGAACTGGGCAGGTCGGGGTGAGGTTCCAGTGCTTTCCTTCCTTCCACTCAGGCCTCCCCCGGGCCCCTGCCCTCGACACGGGTGAGGGGTGGCATTTCCAGGCCCCTAGCATGGTCTTGTCACCAGCCCAGGCCAGCACCATCTCCTGCCCCAGCCCAGCCCAGCTCAGACGGGCCTCCCCAGGTGTACCTACCTGTCTGGTGCTCGAAGGCAGGATAATACTCTTCATTGCTGAACAGGTCAGTCCAGGACATCAGGGGGTCGCAGAAGGACGCGTTGGGCAGGAAGGTGCTGTGTGTCACTGAGTCCAACATCACCCTGCAACGACAGGAGAGGCTGTGAGGAGACGGTGACTGCCGGAAGCCACTGCAGGACCCCAGCAGGCCACGGTGGCTTAACAAGGACAGCAAAGACTCGCAACCGGCAGCCTCCTGGGAGCCAGGCCCCCTCCGCCCCCCTCTACGTGCTTTCCATGATTGACCATTTCTAGATGAGGAAACTGAGGCAGAAGGATTGAGACAATTGCCCATAGAATATGACCCGCAAGTGGCAAAATGGGGATTTGAGGATGGGAGCTCTTATTAGCCAATGCTGCCTCTTTCGTTACTTTTCCTATTCACTCACATCTGACCTCTGAACTCTGGCTTATAATGTCTAACAATGTGCTTCTGGAAACACGGCCAGAGTTGCTATCAATGAGCACACTCGCACACCCTTTTCTACAATTCTGAAATCCCAGAGCTCTGAGACCAAAAGTGTGTGTGTGTGTGTGTCTTTGGTGCAAACGTTTCTGAGCAAAAAACAGTTGTGAATTGATCTTACGTAGTTTTATATACTGTTACATAAATGTTACATCTATATGTAACTTAATAGCAAAATGAGGCTCCGAGAGGTGAGCAGAGCTCCAAGGCCACAGAACTGGGCAGGTCGGGGTGAGTGAGGTTCCAGTGCTTTCCTTCCTTCCACTCAGGCCTCCCCTGGCCCCCTGACCTCAACACGGGTGAGGGGTGGCATTTCCAGGCCCCTAGCATGGTCTTGTCACCAGCCCAGGCCAGCACCACCTCCTGCCCCAGCCCAGCCCGATACACTATACACTATACATGTGCAGACTATGTATAAAAATTATACACTATAGACACATATAAATGAGATATATGCTATATAGTTTTGTAACCCTAGTTGCAGTGTGTTATTCTGCCTGATCAATATTCACGTGGTGTGCGGCAGGAACACCGATGGGGTTAAGTTGAGCCAGAAGACACCTGGGGAGGGGTGGTCTGTCTTCGGCTGCGTGTACACCGTCACCTTCTGGTGCCTGACCAGTTCTGCAGCACGCCTGCCCCAGGGGTTTGGGTAAGAGAGTGAGCACCAGTGACTGTAACACACAATCGCTTTGGACTCCAGGCTGAGGACTTCAGGACTTCCATCCATTCCTCATGGGCTCCTCGGAACGTGAGCTCTGAGGCGGGGCCTGAATCACGGATGAGGAGGGGACGCTCTGACATTCCCGCTAACGTGCCCACACCACCCAGCTGGCAGGGGTGGAGTCTGAGTGACAACTCAGGTTTGTGTATGTGACGTCAAGACCTGGTGGCTATGCTCTCGTCCCTGCTCACACTAGCAGTGGGGACACTGGGGAGATGGTGTCTGGTCGAGGCTGGGGTGGGGGCAGAAGAGATGGGCCTAGGGCCCCCCACTCTCGTGCACTCTTGCCCACCAGTCTCATCTCTCAAGTTTCTCTTTGCTGCTTCCCATGTCCCCACAATTCAGACAAAAAAGAATTCGTACCTGATGGATTAAAAATATGTGTTGGCCCCACTTCTCTTTTCTTCTTATGGAAGTAATGTTGATGAGATACGGGGGTTCTACCCCCATTTTGTGAAGGGGACCCTGCAGCTCAAGACCACACAGCTGGTAAGTGTCAGAGCAGAGACTGGGCTCTGGGTCTCAGGGAATTTAAGATGGGCAGGAGCTTATCAGTCATCTAGCCCAGTGTTTCCTGACGCGAGTCATGTGTCTCCCATCACCATAATTTACTTAGTACATTCCACAAAATCATCCCTTTTTTGTTTGAACATAAATACGTTTACGTAAAAGGAAAACTGGATATCACCATTATCCACGAAAAGTCACTATTCCTGAACATACGTAAAAATGGAGACATAAGCACCTAACTAAAAATTGTTCATCCATGCACCACCCAAGTCAGAGGTTAGCAAAGGACAACTTGCAGGCCCAATCCAGCTCACCTCCTGCTTTTGAATGGCCTGCAGCTAGAAATGATTTTACATTTTTAAATGGTTATGTATTAAAGGGCTATGCAGGTACTTACACAATAGCCTGGATTTTGCCTGTTGGCTCACCAATCCTATAATAGGTACTCTCTGCCTCTTTACGTGAGAGTGTGCCTACCTTCGACCAGATTCACCTCCTGTAGGTACCATGAGTGCCGGAAAGTACTGAGTTAGTGCCTCGCTCCCCTCGCTCTGTCATCCAGAACCGAGAAAGCTAAGGCCCAGGGAGCTGTGTCGCTTGCTTCAGGTCACAGGGCCAGTTGGTGGCAATGTTACATTGCATGTAGAGAGTTCTTAAGTTTTCCAATCCTCAACTCTCAGCCCATCAGCTTCCCTTTCTAAAAACACAGTCACGACGCCCTCAGGACACCCCACGCATTCTTACGTACCAAGTAGGACCTCAGTACTGGGAGGGGCAGGGATTGTGTGGCTCCAGAACCAAAGGCCGATTCTTTGGGGGCGTTGGCAAATCATCATCATCATCATTATCATCAAATGCTCATGAGAACCATGCTCCTGACATAGATAAGCAACCAAGTTCAAAGCCTCACATGCAGGTCCCCTTCTGTGCTGTCCACAAAGAGTTGCCAGACCCCCCGGGGAACCTCCTTCTGAGGCCCACAGAGGGTTAACGCTGCAGGCGGATTATCGTGCTCATGGATCTCCCCCTGGGAGCCATATCAAACAGAGGTCAAGGCTGCCTGCGTTCGAACTCTGATTTTCCCACAGATCGGCTGGTTTTATACCTTGAACAGGAGGCAGGCTGGAAAGGGATAGGGGTTATGAGAAAGGAAAGCGCCCCTGGAGCCCAAAGCCCCTTCCATTTCCTGGAATCCACATCGGGGAATTCTCCTAAGTGAGGGCTCAAGGGGAAAAGGCCCCCTGCCTTTCTGGGCCAGAGGCTCAGAAAACTGAGGAAGAGGATGGCACACCCCTGACCTGACTTCATGGTGGGCTCGGAGAAAGGCCAGGTGAGCTCCACATAGAAGAACAGAGAAAACCATCCCCAGGCCCGCAAAGTCACTTAGAAACCCTCCAGCTACAAAATACAACAGGAGTGAGCGCTCCATCTGCACCTGACAAACAGCTCTCAAAAGGCGACCATTAAATTCAGTTGAGTCATATAAAAATTAGGAATATGTTTGATCAATAGGACATTTACCTCCTTTAAGAATTTTCCCCCCCTTACACTGGTCCACTCGCTCTGTAATTTCCCTAGTTTTGGACACAGGGCAGTATCTGATTCCCTTTGGTAATTCCTTCTATGGCCAATTACATCCTTTAAGTTTCCTTAAAGGGCTCTCTCACGTGAACACTGTGCTATTTTCCTTCTGTAATCATTTCTTACTTTGGGGGAAAATGCCTTTTATAAAAGCAGCAGAAGTTGTTTGTTTTAGGAGAGGGTTTCATTAGCTCTGGGCTCTCCACAAAAGACCTTGGCCCCTTCGCCAGCATGCTCCAGGTGTGAGTTCAGGAATAATGGCTGCTTTGTGCCCAGGAGCTCAGCTTCCTAGGCCCTCTAGGGTCCTTGCGGTAATTGAGCATTTTAGCTCTTAAGATTTCTTTTTTTTTAGAATTTTTGAAATCGTCACTCGAGTATATGTTTATTGATTTTACTGAGAGAGAGGAAGCAAAAGAGAGCGAGAAGGAGAAAGGGAGAGAGGGAGAGAGAGAAAGAGAAAGGAAGAGAGGGACACATCGATGTGAGAGAGAAATATTGATCAGTTGCCTCCCATGCACACCCTGACTAGGGATAGAACCCACAACCTAGGCATGTATCCTGATGGGGAATCGAACCCACAACATTTTGGAGCCCCATTTCTCAGTGAGAACATTGAGGCCCAGTGACAGGTAGGCCCCAGCCTGAAGGTAGCCCATACATCGCCAACAGGGGGTGACATTGACCCCAGAGGGGAAAAATTTGGTCCATGGGGGGATTGGTGTCAAAAAATCTTCGATGTTATTATGTTTCATGAGCCTCCAAAGGGCCACAGCATATTAAGGACTTGCAGCATTTCTGTGGAATTAACACTTCATGGAGGGGGGAGACGACTAAGAAAAATTATCTCAAAAAGCTCCTAAGTGGGGACAATAACCGGAAAAAAAAAGGTTGAGCAGCATTGGGCTAGACTTAGAGTCCGCAGCACGACAAGGAGGGTATGCAGGGCGGGTCCTGGGCCTGCTGCCCCGGCCGCACCTGTGTGTTCTCAGAGAGGCTGGCGGCCGTGTGATCTTGGAGAGAGCACTGAGCTGGGAGTCACCATTATGCCTCTTGCATCTCTCCAAGCCTCAGTTCCTCTTCTGCTACATGAACTCACGGAAGCGGTGGACTCCACGCCGGGCCCTGGCTCCATGGCTTCTTCAGGCACCCACCCGACCGGGTCGACACCCAAACACATGCCCGCACCCACAGATGCATAGGTGCGGGTGCTATTTCAGTCAAGCAAGCTCATCAGACTACTGCAAACAGAGGTTAAACGTTTATCTCTGAGAAGGCCCCCAGCTTTCCTCTTCTCCCTTCCCTCCTGAGCCCTCTACTTCCAGCAGTGGGTCCTGGGTATGGAGCCAGGCCCCGTGGGCACTATGGTCCCTCACTTACTGCCCGTGGGCACTCTGGTCCCTCACTTACTGCCGTCATCAGACCCACAGCTGTGAGAGTCCGCTCCCCCCACATGCTGTCCCCATGCTGGCTGCCTTGGAAATAGAGAAAGTTCAAATACATCCACACAGGGGTGGTTCCCTGCCAGGCACGAGGAAGGCTGGCCGGAGGTACCTTTCAAAGTGAGACCTTGAAGGCATGGAGGCTGAAGTCCCCGCTGACTCCAGGGGCTTTCTCGCCCTCCTGAGAGCCGGCTCACTCACCACGTCCGCCCAGGGAGGGTCCGCGCAGCCAGAGGGGCTTCTTGCCCTGCACGAGTCAGAGGCAGCAGCGGCAGGTGCGGTGCCCATGGCCTGCGCAACCAGCACCTCTGCCCAGCCTTCCGGAGCGAGAGGGGAAGGAGCAAACCACCCAGCCTTGGCCAGTTTGTCAGAGGAGGAAAATTCCTGCCTGACCCTGGCGGAGATCATCAACTTCACTCTGGGCATGTGACCAAACATTTTACCCACTTAAGCATCGACGCATTGGCTGTTTATGCACCAAAACATCACCGGGCAGAACCAGGTCGTCAGGATACAGCCTATGGGAAAAGGGGGCCCATGAAGGGTCTTCGCTGAGCCCATCCTCTGAGCAGTCTCATTGGGAAGCAAAATTGTTTTCCTCCTTCGATGCTTCAGTGACACCTGAATGCTCACCGGGTCCCCAGCCCTACGGGCCCGGCAGGTCCATTTCTCACTCTTCGGATGCCCCCAAGAAGGGACCCATGAAGGGAAACCCAATGGACTGTTTCGACACTTTCTATTAAAGGATCGTGGGTGGGGTGCTTGAGTGTTTGCTCTTCTGGGAGAAACCAGAGCGGCTGGGAACTGCCTTGCTGATGTCTTGCCAAAGTCCTCATTTTTCCCCGGCTTGCTCAGGGAGTTCGCCAGTGGGTGGGCGTTTGGTTGTTTTTCTGAAGGTGCAGCAGAGACCCATAGGAGGTCTGCCGTATGGTTTCCGAGGGGCTCCAATGCGAAGCTCGTTGGTTTTGGATCAAACCCGTGGTGGGGTTCAATGTTACCTCTGCCCCCACAAGCAAAGAAACATGGGACCCACGTCTTAGGGCTCAGCCAGCCAAAATGATTTTTGTTTCATACGAGGTGTGGTGCATACAAATCCACGACCCTCTCTGAGCTCATCTCTAAAACGGGATCCTCAGGCTTTCCTGAGGATTTAATTAAATTAGTTAAATATGCAGAGGACACAATACATATATTCCCTGGGCACAACACATATATTCCCTGGGCACAATAAACATATTCATTTCCGGGGGGGATCAGTCATCATCAATGCACCTAAAAGGTTGTTATACAGGGGACTTGTGAGAAAAACAGACAGCCAAACTGCACAAACTCCTGTGGAGAACATCTTGAATCACGAAAAACATTGTCGCGGAGAACACGAGGCCACAGCGTTAAGCCTTCACTCTGCGGGGCAGACCGCCCCTCTCCACGGGGCCTCTAGACTAAAACACGAAGCTGTCTCTCTAGAACACGCTAACTGTCTAGGCCTCAGTTTCCCCATCTGTAAAACGAAGAGGTTGTATACCTAAGGGTCTCTGACATCCTCTCCAGTTCATAAAATTCTTAGCACAATCAAAGGTGGGTCCCCAGCCTTCAGTTAGAGAGGGGAGCATGTGCCACCAGTGGCCGCCAGCAGGGGGCGAACGAACAGGAACCCTCACACACCGCAGAGTCGGAAAAGGTCTGAGAATACAGTGGAAAACCCCTAAGCACTGCTTTTCTGGAAAGATTCTCTACATACGAAGGTGGCGTGAGAGGGCATAATGGGTTTCTTTTAAGCTGTTACATACACATGAATTCCTGAAAAAAAAAAATTCCCCAAATTGTAATAAGGCAGCGTATTTTCTCTGTATCAAGAGGGAGCTATGAGCTGGCCAATGGGGAAAGGAGGAGTTTGGCCAGCGGGAGGTGGGCTCTCCTTGAAGCTGAATATTTTTTGGGGTGTAAAACCCAGCCTTCCTTCCTAAAGATAGCTTTAGGAGGCGTAGGGTAGTGAGTGCCTCTCTGCATTCTCCTGGTTCCCCTTGGTGCAGTCAAGTGATCCTGGAGGCGTGGGGGCTGTGGAGAAGGGGGTGGGTGGCTCCACAGCCTGTGGGGGCAGAAGTGCCCCCCCCAGGTCCCCCAGACAAGCAGTTAAATCCCAGTCACACAGCTCCCGGGAGGCACTGTGACTGATGGAACCTGCAGGGGAGCTGGCAACCTGGAGCTGGAGACCGACCCACCGACCCGGACTCCCAGCCCCAGCCCCTAAGCCCTGACACCCCTTACAATTCATCCAAAAAAGCAAAGAAAGGGTGCTTACGTGAGGACAGCGCTGACTAGGTCCGAAGAGGAGGCTTTCAAAGGCAAGAGAAAGCAGGTGCTCCCGGCACCAGCGCCCGGTGGAAATAAAGGCACCTGTAGCCTTGTGATATAAGTAACACCTACAGACAGGTCCGTTTGGTTTTTCAGGTTTACGCACAGCCCCTTTGATGACGGTGACATACAGTGTGACACGGCTCCTCGGAGGGGCGGGGGGATGGTTCTCACGTGCAGAAAGTTTACCTTTATCCTGCTTTTGTGCCCAGCTCACCACCCTCCCTCGTGGCCCAGGGAAATCAGAAAACAAGCCCAGAATTCTTGCCCCTGTGCTCTGCCCGGCCCTGCGTTGGCTGGGGATTCTCACTCATGCAAGCCGTAGGGGGAGCTCTCAGAGGCAGCCAGCCTTCCCCCTGGTTTGGTGGAGTCTCGCGCTTTTGAGTAGGAGTTCATTTTCCTTTTCCCTTGTGTGGCCAGGAGGAAGGACAGGATGGGGCAGTGGTTAAGAACACAGGCTTTGCAGCTAGATGGCTTTGGATTCAAAGTCTAGGGTGCACCATTTTCTAGCTGTGTCGCCGTGGATAACTTAATCAGCCTGCCTGAGCCTCATCACTCTGGTGCAAAGAAAAGTACTACCCACTGGGCTGCTCTGAGGGTCACGGCAGGTAATGCAGGTGAAGCCC